CTGTTATATTAAACTTATATTAAAGGTTTTCTTCATTACCCATTCAAGCCGTCTCCAAGCATGATTAATACCATGTTAAGTTTTAATTATTCATGAGGTCCTGGGAAGTGTAAGAAGTTTATGGTAATGAAGAAATGTATGTTTTATATTTTTTTTATTATTACAAACTTATAGTTGAGGAAGACTTAATCTAAAAACCATTGTTATTAGTATTGTTTTATTGAAGGGGTACACATGTAGATCACATCTTCTATTGCAAATGTCACAAAAAATGTTTTTGTTGAAAAATGTAAACTGTAACTATTTGTAAATGTAATGTCTATGTTACATTGTTTAAGCATACAATCATATAATTCTAAATCACAGTCCATTTATGTCTTTTTCTGATGCCAATTTTTGTGGGGCAGGTGAAAGCGATCAATGATGAAGCGATACACGTGAACCTCGCAAACTTAACGGGCGAGTTCTATTTCATACACATTCCAGTATCTGGTCATTTCCAGTTCATTTTCTAGTACATAATTCTTTATTATTAGCAAATACACAGCTGTATTCAAATAAATTCAATCAAATATTGGTCTGTTAATAGGTTTACTCTCACTGGTATATTTGCACGTATTTAAATTATTCCAGCCACCCATATAATTATTTAAAAAAAAAGAAAAAAAGATAAATTTTGTTACACCTTATACTGTATATGACAACGTTTTTTGTCACAACTATACATGTGGCATCAGCAGTGCAACATGCTGTAACATGAACAGAAACAATGTTTTGTTTTTACATATAAGAGCACTTTGGAATGGTTCTATGAATGTAACTTGCTTTGATCAGAAGTCAATTACAACTACATTATTATTATATTACTCTTTACGTAATTCCTTTATAAAATTTTGTTTGTGATTCAGTTTAAAGTAAATGACAGAAGGTTGTATAAACCTTCACTTAGAAACATCTGACTGACTCAGGAAAAAAGGAAGGTATGTGAATTTTTCTCAAAAAAAAATTAAATTTTCTTCAGATGTGTGATATATTTAAGCAATGCCTTTTCTACTTGCATTCAAACAGTTGTGATTAATGTTCGACAAATATTATGTTTGGTGACTTGTCAGAGCTTTTGGATAGATTTGAAAATAGAGCTCAGATTCCTTCCATTAGATATTTTAAATAATTATATAATGAAACAACTAATCAAAATGTTTATTCTTTTATGATATTTGTTCATTTACATGTACAGTAAGCAAAGTACTCTTGATATTATTGGTGGGTTAATGATAATCATATAAATAATAAGTGGGTGCCTGTTACTTTACGTATTATTAAATTTCTGCTGTTACTTTGATTACCTTAATGGTTTCCAATACAAATATGTTGAATCAAATGTGTTGTTAATTGATTGACAAGTTCTGTATTATGCTTCTAGAAATGATAAGTAATTGACCAACGAGAATTTTCAGAGTCGTTATTCATTATTTTGATTTGATAAAACCAATTTTTTCTTGGACATTACATTAACTGAATTGCATATAAATATATCAGACTAGTGAAACAACTGCTATAATAAAAGAAATTCTGAATTAGAATTAGTTATGGCAATATTAATTTATATTTTCAGAAAGAGGCACTAATGCTGTTGAAAAATTGTAACCGAGTTGATTCATTTAATACGATTCTTATATGTACTTGTAAATTAAAAAAAATTAAAAAATTTTGAAACTTTTTTTTTCAAAAGTTTGTATTTTATGAAAATTGGAATAAATCAAGTTTAAATGTAAGTTATTATCATACTTAGAATACTGAAATGGGGTAATATGTTACACGTGCCTACAAAATTGTCACAGAATTACAAATATTGCCTCTGCTGTGTAAAAACCATTGATCTTCAGAACAATATTCAGTAACAGTTGATTATCTAACTAACACACATGGATTTTATCATTCTTGTAATTTCCGAGTGTGTTAAATAAACAGAATGTGCAGTGTGAGGATGTTACAGTATGCCCATTACATTTAGAATTGGCCAGTTATTGTTGTATTGTTTGTATTTAAGTTGGAAGTTCGTTTTTGTAGCTGTTTTTTATTTGGGGAATTTTGTAGGTTGTTAGTTTTGATGTTTCAGTTGTGGAAGTAATATATTTATTTTATGTTGCACTGGTTTTGGAGAAAACAAGGGACCAATAAACATATCAGAACTTTCAGTGTATGTAGCGTTTTATAATTATTGTAGTGCAAAACACTGATGTAATGTGACAGTAAAAAGATCATGTTCCTGATTACGTTTCACCAATACTTTACAAACATATCAGGTTTTAAATATCTTATGGTTTTACCAGCAATATTTCATAACTGCTTTACGTGTAATCTCTGTCGTCAATAGGATTCCAAAGTTTGTTTATAATACAGTCTATTATAATAATAATAATACGTTTTTGTCTGTCGAGAAAATGCGCATGCGTGCGCACTTCAACGGATATAAACCAAAAGCGGATGTAAATATACTTCAATAGACATTTTGTACAACATATTAAAAGTTTTTAAAAAAGGTCTAACGTAAGGTCGTAGAATGACATTATAAGTTTATCTATTGATAGTATTAAGTACGGTAAAGTTTAACCCTAAATAGACTAAAGCAAAAAACGTACACAAGTTACAGTGTTTACATATCTCTTTTTACGAATATAGGCCGTACTTAATGAAGGCTTAACTAATGTTAGACCCAAGACAAGTGGACTTGTAGATTTCGCCATTATTTCGGTATCTGCCATTATAATTATTTTGTATTCTACAAATCCTGTATTTTTTTTAATAATCATATGAATATTTAATGTGATGTTAATAAAAGTACCATTTTATCTTATCTTGTAAAACAATTTTCAGAAACGAGAAATATATAAATAAAAACCCATAGACTGGTAAAATAAATCTGAAAGATGGGCATAAAGAAAGGTAAGCCTACTTTTAATTACTGAAACTAGATGTACATGCGCAGTCCCCGAAAGTTTTCTGTTTCAAGAGTAAATAAAACCAAAATTAAGAGTAACAAATATTTTTATTTCTTGCTTTTCAAGTTCATATGTCACGTTGTGTTGTAGTCTACAGAGTGTATAATTCTTCTCGTGATTCATAGCATGCGCACGTTTTACTGCAATACAAGTTGCAACGTTAATCGTATCTATGTGACGTCATTTTATTGTCTACTTACTGATTGACAGACAACACAGTACTGTAAAGTGGTGTGAGTGGTTAAAACAAGTGACTTATCCAAGCGGCCATAGGATTCCTTTCGGAGAAATATTTAAGAAATCAAAATGCATAAAAGATTTCTCACAGAAAGCAAATTTACTGCATGTACGAAGATGGGCAACATTGTTTTAATGTAGTTTCTACAAACATATTTATTTTACTGACTGATACCTATTAAATAAGTAAATCTGATTTGTAATAAAATACAGAACAGTAACCTGAGAAACCGAACAATGTGTCAGGTAATTTCTGTGAGTTTTGAGTCCGTTTTACTTTACCGTATAGTAAGTAACCTAAATTAATTCAAGTATGTGCATAATGTTATGACATTTCTTCGATTTATTATTCGATATTATACAGCGGACCAACTGTTTAATGAGTGTATATATATATATATATATATATGTCAGGTAATTGTTTTATTACTTTTGACTGGTCTCTGGTATCCAAACGTGAAATTGTAAAAGTATAATAAAAATAAATAAAATAATGACTCGCGTAAGGTAGTGTCAACTATTACTTGCACTCAGTGTTATAAATCAAAATTATAAATGTTGGACAATTCTTACTACTTAAAATCTGATGTTCTCTGCTGATAGAGGAGAATGGAGAAAAGATTTCATTGAATTGAATTAAGATAGGAATGATCAGGGATCAAATTCGTTATCTAAACACAATGCATAACCTAAGTCAGTAATCAATCTCATTACATTCGAGAGGGAGATTAGTCTTAGATGGCAACAACTAGTACGAGCTTCTTCTCTTGGGAAAGGTGATATATATATATATCACAAAGTAAACATTATGTAATACAAATTTTAAGCTAAATGTAACTCAAAAATAGTCTATATGAAATGCAATAGAGAACAGAATAGAACATGGGTACAATGAAAAATGGCATTAATGAAACTTAATATAATGCAAATTGAAAATAAGTGGAACTTATTAAAATTTAGAATCTAGTATAACTTAAAGATGAAATTATTTATTCTTAAAAAAAGAAAGGATTAAATTTCATGTGAATCAACTAAAATTTTAAAGAAAATAAAATGAAGAATAATTTAAAACACCTGATATTTAAACACATCTATACTCGTAGTGTTTCACGAATCTATACCATTCAGCCAGGATATTTGAATATCTATTTTACGGTTGGTAATCTCGTGTTTCTCCTACAATTTTCGGTGGTAAACTGATATTCTTCATCTTTTGTGGCCCCCTAGTGGCAGTCGAGGACTTATAATACTAAAAATCAGACTTCGACTTCCGCTATGGCAAATGCACAGTCAGTTCATTGTACACCTTTGTGTTTAACAAAAAACGAACACAAATCGTCCTTTATCCTTCTTCGTTGATGATCCAGGGCCTTCTTTCCCAGATCTGCTGATACTAGTGTCCAGTGGTGGAGGTGTTATATGTCTAGAGGACAACTGTGGGTAGTGTTATATATATGTCGGACAATGTAGTGAACATACTGAAGTTTCCTTTATGTCCTCCCCCCATATTTTGTATTCTTGGATTTGGTAAGCTTTGGGAAGACCTTTTCTATCAGTCAAGGATATTATCTCGTTGAGGATGAGCAATTATCTCACATCTTTCCTACCCAGCCACGAAACATACTCCATCAGGGTAGTGCACAGAGACTTCGTTTTTTTTTTGGGGGGGGGGGAGCATTATCAGTCCTTGATTGGTGGTAGTTGACTATGCAGGAACATTAAGCTGACCATTCTTCTGAGTTTCAGAAATTGAAGATACTTGTTCCATTTCTGGGGTCGCCTCTTCTGGCGCTCATGGTCTTAAATAGTTTATGATGTAATGATGATCGTGTCCTCGATTGTTTTTGTCTTCCTTCATTCATACAATCATATGTATATAATTGGCAGCTATAGCTTGAAACCCAAGTTTGAACTCGGTAGAAAAATTGTCTGTGGTTACAGTACTGCAAGTGCTGGACTTTCTCGTTTTTTTACCAACACATTTAAAGTGGATAGTATTTATTTCTAAAGCGGTAAAGGTTAAATGGACATATAGGTCATAAATAAGATAACTAGTAATCACAAGTTATGTTTGTTTTTGTAGCAATTGAAAACTACAAGCCAATTCAGCCTCCGATAGGTCAGAGGCTAAACTAAAACATTAGGTTAAATGTCACATATTATCAAGCTTTTCAAGAAGAAAAACAAAGCTAATTTGGATAAGAAAATGTGCTACTTCTTATGAAAGGTATGGTGAATGCACTCAAGTAACCCCTCTGTATAAAAACCTTAGGAACACGAATGTTATGGGATCAAATTTTTCTTACCATATACAGTGATGTTTACTTTTTTATACACTTTCCGAAGAACACTAAGTACATCGGAGGCTTACACCATTCCTTAAAACTATCGTTTTACAAATTTATTGAAAGAGATATCATGAAAGCAGACCAAATATTTAAGAAAATCTTAGAAGGGGATAAAAATGTTTAATATGGTCGACTACGAGTATTATCCAAAATTTGCCTTTTATAAATCCAAAAAAGGTCAGATTCAAGCACCAGAGAGTGTCCAATCCACCGTTTATTTTGGAACATTGCCATATTAACCACACATTCAAGCACCAGAGAGTGTCCAATCCACCGTTTATTTTGGAACATTGCGATATTAAACACACGGTCAAGCACAAGAGAGTGTC